GAACCCATCTTCAAAAAAAAAACTATAAAGTCAAAAAAATCATAAAGTCAATGAAACAGAAAATCACGTAGGAGTATGGCGTATTCGCCTAGAGGGCACTTCTTCGGGGAGGGTAATTGGCTGTTCAGTACATCTTCGCAGATATCCTCTTCACCCAAAACCCCAAAATCTCCGTCCATTATACTACCCCATTCACCATGCTACCTGACTTTTGCTAAGGTTTTCCTACTCTCAAGCGATTTGTCAGAAAATTCTACCAGTTCTTTTCAAAAAAACGAAATTCCGTCAAGCGAGGGGACGGGGTGGGGGAGAGAAGGGGGCAATTAGCAACCAGTGATCAGATATAGAGGTTATGTCCCCTCCATCCAGCCCCCTACCTGGTTACAGGAAATACGTATCACGAAAAATGGGAAAAGTCAACAAATGGGTAAATCTCAAACGATTCACTTGCAGTTTGGAGAAATATTCCTCAAGCCAGGCACGAACCCTATGTACAGGGCACGCCATAGTTGTGATAATCACAACGGGGGGGGGGGGGTCATGTTTGACCGCGAGCGAAGAGGGTACTTGGTCTGAGAAAAATTTCTTTCGATAGTTGATTTCTCTTGTTTCACGGACGTTATGAATGGAGGGGGGGTCGTATTTGCCCGTTGTTGCGAGAACGGGGGGGGGGAGTATTGTATTAGGCTTTGAGAGGAATTTGCGCCGTTGGGAAAAAAAGTTTCCCCGGATGTTGGCTTCTTGCGGTTTTTCCCGTTTCAGGAGTACTTAACACGTTGACGACAACGCGCGTTTTTACTTTTTGGCCGCGTGGGACACGCGCGCTTTCTTGAACGCCACAAGCGCGGTACTCATACAGTTCAGACCGTCCCACAAAGCGCTTTTTTGGAGATTGGATCGTAAAACCTGGTTTAGAGATCAATTGTGAGGTAAGTCAATTATTTACCATGGAAAAACCTGCCCACATCACACCATCGTGCCTTTGCAGACGCATTCCCCTTCCTCACTCTGGGCAATGGGGTCCTAATTCTGGCTACGTAGATACAAACTGAATTCCCAGTGAAAAAAGGGGCAAAAATCGCTGAAGACACCGACATCGCGTTGGAGCAAATCATCGAGTAGAGCTGAGCAAAAGAACTTTCATTTGACCCTAACATTCATTCTTTATCCGTTGATTCTTCAATATGGCGCTTCTCACAGGTAGGAAAAAGAAGGACAAAATAATACGGAACTAATCGATTTCATGTTTACAGAACCATTGAAATCACATTTTCATTCTTTTCTCGCCCATTTATATGCGAAAACACCCGAATGAACGGACACGGTGGCTTTGTTCTCAGTTCAAAAAG